TAGGGAAAGAAAAAGCGATAATGTAAAGCCCTTGAAGTTAGAAGCATAATTTGAATGTTCAATAAATGGCATGAGAGTGAGAAGATGGAAAGTGAGTTTGGGGAAGAATCAGGGCCAGGGTAGTAGGGTGTTTTGAGCCATTGTGAGCACTTGGAGTTTAAAAAAACACAGGAGCTGGCCAGGGGAATGTAGCTCAGCGGCACAGCACTTGCCTGTTAAGTGCAAGGTCCTGAGTTTGATCTCCAATACCAAAAACAAAAAACAAAACAAAACAAACAAACAAAAACACCGGAGCCCCTGGTAGGATGTGAACACGAGAATGGCATGCTCTGACTTCCATCTTCTAAGTCAGAGGCTTCTGACTAAGCCCACTGATTGCTACATTGAGAATCCTCAGGGAACAATGAGGCTAACAGGGGGACAAATCCACATGCCAGTGACTTGGTCAGAGGGACCAGTGAAGTCGATGACAAGCGGCTGGATTCTGGAGCTGTTTCAAAGGTGGAACCAGATTTGATGTAGAGAATGAAAGGAAGAGAGAATCATAGCTGAATCCAAGGGTTTGGGTCTGAGCAGGTAAAAAGATGGGAGATGGGGAAAACCACAGGGGTCCTGAGTTTTGGCAAGACTCTCTGGAGCTCCATTTTGGACATGCTATGCTTGAGAGGTCTGTTGAATATATGCGCGGGGAGAGTTAGTGGACAGTGTTGGTGTTTGAGTCTGCAGGTTAGGGAAGAGGTCCAGATTGAATTTGTCTGTGCATATATATATTTTTTTCTTTCTTTTTTTTTTTTTTTGGTACCGGGGGTTGAACTTGGGACCTTGCGCTTGTGAGGCAGGCGACAGAACCACTGAGCTAAATCCCCGGCCCCTCTCAGAATATTTTTAAACCCACAACATTGGATGAGATCACCAAAAAAGTGAGCCTAGGTAGAAAAGAGGTGAGTTTTAAGGACAGAAACCCAGGGTACCCCGTTGTCTAGATGGGACCAGCAAATTCAAGACTGTGGGAAAGTCTCCAGAGTAAACAAACAACCTAGCTTCTTCAGAAAATATACTAACAGTGATATAGGGGAAAAAATATAACTCCCAACCTGCTAGATGCCAGACATGCCAAGTTCATGTTCCTCAAAATCGAAGAATGAACTCTAAGGAACCACAAAAGTTAAGAGTAGGAAAAATTTATTGAGAGAGATAACTCCTGAGAAACAAGAGCGGACCAGAAAGTAGGTTGCCATGGACCCCTTTCTCCTTTGGTTCCTGGCTGAGATGGTGAGCAGTTCTGCTACACCACACACTCCCACAGTGATGTGCTGCTTCACGGTAGAACCAGTCATGGACTGGGACCTCCAAAACCATGAGCCACAACAACCCTATTCTGCCAAGTTAATCACCTCAAGGATTTCTCTACAGTGTTGGAAAAGTGACTAACACAAACAGTTTTTACATTGTTTATATGGCTGAAAAAAATCAAAAGGATAGCATTTCTTGACATAAACATTTTACATATGAAATTTATTTCCAAAGATTTTTTTTTTCTTTTGTACCAGGGATCAAACTCAGGACTTTGTGCTTGCGCGGCAGGCGCCAGAACCACTGAGCTAAATCCCCCGCCCTCACATACGAAATTTAAATTTTAGTGTCTATAAAGTTTTATTAGAATGCACCCTGCCCATTCGTGTAAGTACTGTCTATGGGTGCTGTGAAAAAGACTATGCCCCAGCACACATTTAAACCTGCAACACTGAGTGCCCTGGTAACACTTGAACGATCTCCCACAAGGCGACTACATCTCGATTGCTGAGGGGTTGGCCTGCAGTAGGTTTGGTAAGTACATACTATGGTGTTTGTATAATGAGATCATGTAAGGATGCATTTCTAGTCCCTGTCATTAAGCAATGCATGCTTGCATCTCCTTTTGCATATTGTACATGGTGAAATTTTTTCTTTTCTCCTCTCCCCTCCCCTCCCCTCCCCTCCCCTCTCCTCTCCTCTCTCTCTTCTCTCTCCCCCTCTCTCTCTGTCATAGGGGGAAGGAGCCAAAGGCAGCCACAGGGCCTCCCACCTGCTAGGTAAGTGTTATACTATTGAACTACATCCCCAGGCCCCCAAATTTTCTACATAAGTTTTAAAAAAGAAAGCAAACCAACCGATACTGTGTATCTTTAATAAAAGTAACCAGGAGATGAGGAAGTAGGGAGGGAACTGAGAGGAGTGGCCAGAGGGCCAGTGCAGGTGGGGAACAGTAAGGGCAGTGTCCTTGAGGTCAAGTGGAGGAAGAAGGCACCTACAGCTTCTCAAGGGTTTAGGAGGAGGAGGTCAGAGTTGGTCCTCACTCCAGCTCACTCCCAGGCAGACCACACCCCAATTAAGTGATTGCACCCTCTTGTAGTATTACCAGCAACTCTGGGTATTAAAAGGAACCCCATAATGCACACCTATGGTCTCTCAAAATTATTTTATGGGCATCCCAGCATTCTCTAGTACAGATTTCCTTGGTATTCCCTAATTTGCTATGTCAATGGATTATTTTCGCCCCAAGGGAGCCTCCACAGCCAGCTTTGGTAACAGTTACGCTCATTTTACTACCCAGGGCAAAAACAGACTATGACATTTTTGAAACCTCCAAACACCAAAAGCTGGTACATTCTAACAAACTTGGAGTGAACCAGATTCCAAAGCACTTTAGAGCCCCAACCCCATGAACCTTGAAGCTGTTATGTTCTACTCTAATAATAGCTTCTTCCCAAATTGGGGTGTTTTTGGCTTTGGGGAACCTCTGGTCTTTGATTCTGCCTTCCCTTTGGCCAGCTGCCCTGGGTCATTAGCTTCATTCACAATCCTCCAGTTTCCCACACAATGAGGCTTCTTGTGTGCATTGCTACAATCTCTCTATTAACTCTACAAGAGGTTTACAATTACTGAAACAAATGCCTGGCTTTCTGCTGCACATAATGTCTTCGATCCAGCAAAACCCCAGCCCATCACCAGTTTGGGATTTGAGTTTAATTAAAAGCTCTTTGGGTCACTCTCTTTTAGGAGACAGGCCAAAAAGATTGAAAGGACTGAGCAGAGCAATGGCGATTTGGAGCCGATAGCTTTCTCCATGGCCCTACCTCTTACCCACCAAAGCCACCCTTCTCCCCCATGGAAATCAGACAAGGAAGGATTCCTCCGGTGGAACCTAAAGTGAATGCAGCAATTATAGCCACAGACTCAAACACAGTGAGTGTTTGGATGAAGAGGGTGATCAATTGTCCCTGCTGCCTGGGACTGAGGGTTTCCCAGGACACAGAGCTGTCAGTTTTAAAACCTGAAAGTCACAGGTAAACCAGGGCAAGTTGACCAGCCTATAAATCAGCCACTTCTTCTTCTATGAAACTTGTAAAGACACTGGGAGGCTGGAACATCCCACCCCAGACACAAAACAACAATGTCTAGTTCTAAGGGTTTTCTCTGGCTACAGAGCAGCTCCACTTAAAGCCTGTATCATGAACAAACAAGTACAACCATAGCAACATTAAAGGGGAGAGTTTCCACCGAAAACAAAAGGTACTGTTCTATGACTACTGATTCAAAATGGGCAATGTGTCTGGCTTGCAGAATACCAGCTTGATTTAACTGGACTTAGATTTGATTTCAAATGCTTAGCGTTGGAACCACCCAGCTCAGGACTATAGAAGTTAAGGGAATGGTGGCTTCCTGGATTAGAGAGTGATATGGAGACTTGAACTCTTGTCCCGGCTCTGTCACTAGCAGTGAGACTCCAGACACACTCCTTCCTTCCCTCTGTCTGCCTCAGGAAACCAAGTGGACGGCTCTGGATTCAATGAGAGGAAGGAACTGGTCTGACTGTGCATCATACAGAGCTCTTTCCATCCGCCTTACACCCTCAGTTTGCTTCATTTTATAGGTGAGTTCAGTGGACGCCAAAAGGTCACACAGCAGGGCTGGAGATTTAGCTCAGTGGTGCCGCTGCCTGCCTCCCAAGAGCAAGGTCCCGAGTTCGATCCCCGGTACCAAAAAAAAAAAAAAAAAGCTCATACAGCAAGCAAACAGCAGACAGTGAGCTCCAAAGTGGAGCTGCTGCTAGACTCCCTCGTATTCCCGATCCTAGCCACTGCTTCCTGAAGGATAACTACGGACACGCTCCTCTGTGTGCATCGTTTTACTTCACTTTTGATGAATCTTTACAACAAACGTTATCCCTATTTCACAGATAAGGAAATCGATTCTAAGAGGTCGGGGGACCTGCCCAGGGCCACACAGCTACAATGTGGCAGAGCCAGGTGGTAAACTCAGAGCTAACAGAATCTAGGTACTTACTAGCTTTACTCTCCAGCCTCTCCGCTCAAACAGCCCTGAGCCCAAAGCTCGGGGCAGCCAGGGCTACCCCAAGAACAGCAGCGCCACTTTAATTGGCCCACCCATTAGCAGCTGTGTGCTACAGGGGAAATTCCTAACTTCTCAGGGCTTGCTTTTTCTAGTCTGTACCCTGCAGATGGCGCTCGAGCCTCCTTCACAAAGACTATAAACACTTTTAAAGTTTGTAGATGTATCCAACGCATGCACAATCCGTGCTGCTTGTTTTTCCTGCATTTTTCCCATTTCTTCTTCACAAGATCCGTAAGACAGGTATTGTTACCTTCCTGACGCGTAAAATAGGTAAAGAAGCCAGTACTGGCACCTATAAGAATTCGATGAATCGTAGCTATCCGTGCTGTCTTCTCTGCAGCTACAACTGCAAGTTGTCCTTGCTGTTGTTAATATTACTCTTACTGAGTCGGTTTGCATCCCTTTCCTCAAAGTCCCACCACCACTCCGCCGCGTGGAGGCCCCCACCCCAGGAGCCCGGAAAGCCTCCGGACGGACTTTGCCCTCTGCGACTCTGTCCACACCCGACCCCTCCACAGCTGTGCGCATCCCTGGGAGAACCAGCGGCGCCCCCGCCTCACCACGCCGGGTCCCCAGTGCGGTCCGCTCTCCGCTCCGCGCCTCACCTGAGGTCCCGGCTCCAGCTGCGCTGCGTCCTGGGCGGGGGGAGCTGGGCGGGGCGGCGGGGTTCAGCCGGGGCCCCCAGTCCGCCTGCGGCTCCGCAGCCTCCTCCCTGCACCCCCCAAGGGAGAAGCCAGGGCCTCGTACGGCGCGTGCCACACGGCGGGGCGCAGTCCCGGAGCAGGTAGAGTGCTAAAGACGGCGACCAATTATAATGCGGGGCGGGGGGAGCGGATTCAAACAAATCATTAAAGAATCGCAAGACAACTGGAGCAATGTGATCACTGGATATTGGATGGTTAGGTTTTCCAAAGGTGTGGTCGCTAGAATCCCGTCTTTTAGAGATACTTAGGAAACTGAAATGAATGATATGAAATCTGGGGTGTGTTTGGAAAAAGTTTGGAAATCTGTTTGGATCAAGGAGTGGTGGGAATATGGCTGTAAGAGCTCAGCCCTCTGCTGATCATTGCTGAAGCCTGGCGAGGGAGGATCATGACCTTTCTTTGTTTTTTATGTGCTTAGAACTAATAAGACCTGTAACAGATGTGCATACAAGGTGTGACAAATACTGTGTGTTTAAATTTTTTAAATTTATTACAAGATACATTGTTGTTAATCCCCTCAAGATACTCCCCCCTTCCTTTGAATACATTGCATCATTCTTAACACTCTGTAAGTTCTCTTTTGTGTCTTTAGCTGCACTGTTACAGTGCCTCAGTGCCCTGAACCAAGCAAAAACATTGACTTTTCATGGTCATTTTGACTTTGGGAAAAGCCAGAAGTTGCACAGTGCCTGATCCGGTGAATAAGATGGACGGGGACAAGCCACAGTGTTTCACAAGCCCCCTTTCTGTTGCAGGGCATAGTTCTGATCACACGTTGTAGAGAAACGAAAGAGAACTTCCAGAACTGCTTAAGAAAGTGGCAATAGAAGTGGAATACCAGGGTCCCAAGCAAGGAAAGTATTTTGAGAGGGATCAATGGCAATTTGTCTTTTGTAAAGCTTTTTTTTTTTTGCTAATTTTTAAGCTGTTCTTAGTTTTTGATAGCCCCTTGTACACACATCCAAGAAGTGGTAGGAAAAGACCCACCCTAAGTGTCCACCAGGGAAATTGTCAAATAAACTCATACATCAACCTGTACATTATACAGCCATTAAAATGTACATTTAAATCTGGGAGTGCAGCCCAGTGGTAGCATGTGTGCTTAGCATGTGTGAAGTCCTGGATCCAATACCCAGCACCCCTCCCCTGAAAGAAGTCATTTAAATAAGATCATATAAGAAAAACACAAGGAAATGATTTTTATATCCAAAACCAAAGAAGGCTAATATTAACATATGTTTGTGAACTTTTGTTAAAATGGGAAGGATCTTGGCATGCTTCTAGGCTGATTAGGATTGTTTTGTTTTGCATTTTGTTCACATTTTGTATTTATGTTTATGTGCAGCTACATAATTTTTTGACCTTTTTAACTGAAAATAAATTTTAAAATTAAGATGGGAAGCAAATGTATTAAAATAATAGGTTTGCATGGTGAGATTTTGCATAACAGTTTTTGCAACTTAATGATAATTTAATTATGAACCTTAGAGGTTTCTTATCATCCTTCCCATTTAATGAAACATCTCAGTCCCTATAACGTTTTACTACACATATTCATGTAGACAATTTTTTTTCAGTACTGGGGATCAAACTTGGGACCTTGCACTTGCAAGGCAGGTACGGTGCCATTGAGCTAAATCCCCAGCCCATACTACACATATTCAAATGCCTGATGCTGATATTGCTTTATTAGTAGCAAAATTAAACATTCTCTTCAGAAATAACCAACCATAGTGTTCTATTGCCCATCTGATAGTTATTTATACAATACTAGTATCTAGCATCCTCAGAAACATTATTTTATGCCCAGAGTCCAGCCCTAAATGATGGGAAATGTCTTCCATCCTTTCTCAAATTCTGATTTTGAATATAGGGTACCAGTGAGCCACATAATTCATTTTGGAAAAACAAAAATATATCATTCGTTCCTTTTTTACATATTTTCATGTTTAAAGTTTTAGAAATATAAGTGCACATATACATGCATTGGAAATCTGGAAGGGCATATACCAAAACATCAATATTGATACTGAATCATGGGACAGGTAAAATCTGTTTTCATTTTCTTCTTTTGGCTGTCTGCATTTTCTACTTCTTCTACAATGAGCATGTTTTCCAATGCAAAAACCAGGAAGGCTTTATGGTCAGTCATATCCATCTTACAAATAATAAAAAGAAGGCAGCAAAAATCAAGTGCTAGGAAACCTGTTTCATTCTGCTGAGCTAAAGAGGATGGCCGTTGTGGCCCTGGCCCCTTCAACTCTGCCATCGCAGTGGTGCACACCTGCAGTCTCAGGTACTGGGGAGGCGAAAGCAGGAGGATCACAGGAATCCAGGAGCTGGAAAGCAGCCCAGGAAACATAGGAAAACCCTGTCTCAGTAAACAAATCAGTGATCTGTGTTGAATCCTGGACGGGATATAAGAAAACAGGATTTGAAGTCAGGCATAGTGACAGATGTCTATAATCCCAGCTACTCAGGAGGCTGAGGCAGGAGGAATCCAAGTTTGAGGTCAGCCTAGGCAACATGGAGAAACCCAGTCTCAAATTTAAGCAAGAAGGTATCCATTCTTAATCATTTTCCAGGGCTTAAGAAGTGCAGATATGTAAGATGCCCCAATTTTACATGATCATGTACTTGGAGAAAAATTTCTACTTTTCATTTTAAATGTTTTGAAAGTACTTTTAAGTGACTTTGTAGTGAAAACATATTATTTAATTCCTGTGAATACAGCACACTGACTCTAAAATCCAGAGGGAATCTTAAGTTCTAGTTATGTAATAATATTCTCCCAATTCTCCAAAGTATAAAATTTCATAGAGAAAAAGAAGCAGTTTGTTATCAATGAATACTGATTCCACTTCAGTGATACCAATACAGATAGCAAGCTACAAAAAACACTTTACTAGGAAATGAAGCCAAATACTGTATAAGTTGTACTACAAAAACAAATGATACACTATGCATGAGGGAAATGTAAACCAAAACCACAAGATAACACCTCACACCACTAGGATGACTACTATTTTAAAAACAGAAGACAAGTGTTGGCAAGGATGTGGAGAAATTGGAACTCTTGTGCGCTGCTGGTGGGGATGTAAAATGGTGCAGTAGTTGTAGAAAACAGCATGGCAATTCCTCAAAAAACTAGAAGCAGAACTGCTGCATGACCTAGCAGTTCCACTTTTGGTATCAACCCAAAGGAAGTGAAAGCAGGGTCTTGAAGAAATATTTGTACCCTCATGTTCACTGTAGCATTATTCACAATAGCTGAAACATGGAAGCAATTCAACCATCTGTCAGACAAATGGATAAGCAAAATGTGGTGTGTCTATACAATATAGTGTTATTCAGCCTGAACAGGGGAGGAAATTCACACATGGATAAACCTTGAGGACACTATGCTAAGTAAAATCAGCCAGTCACAAAAAGACCAGTGTTATGAGTCCACTTATTCAAGGTTCCTAAAATACTCATAGGAAGTAGATGGTGGTTCCTAGGACCTAGGGTGGGAAGAAGGGAGAGTTGTTAATATGCATAGTTTCAGTTTTGTGAGAAGAGTTCTAGAGGTAGATGTTGGTAATGGTTGCACAATATGAATGTATTTAGTAGGAACAAAAATGATTAAGATGCTTAATTTTATGTTACATGTATTTTACTACATGGAACACCACTATCAATTTTCCAGCTGTAAAAACTGGGGGGGAAATGATGGCACCCTATTTCAATGGGCATTAAAACTAGTACTAAATTGAATGTGGTATCCTGAATTGGATTCTAAAACAAGTCATAAGTGGAACAACTGTTAATACCCTAATACAGTAGACTGGAGTTTAATAGTAATGCACCAGTGTTAATTTTTAGTTTTGAGAAACACCATGGTTATATAAAATGGTAACACAAGAGAAAACTAGTGAAAGAATACAGAAGCTCTCTTCATAAATCTGAAATTATTCCAAAGTAAGTTTACTTTAAAAGTTAAAAAGATACAACTGAAGTTAAAATCAATTCTTACATCGAAGATAGACAACACACATTAGAAAAATTGATAAAGTACCAAAATATAAATGCCTGTGTAGCTTTAGTATATGTGAAATTATTCTAATCCCTCTTTATGGTTCTTACCTATTTCTCATCATCTTCTAATTGCAAACAGATTGTTGAAATTTATATTGCACTATCAGTTCTTTCATTTCTGGGTGTAGTTTTTCATTTAAATTGCAAATACATCTTAGTGTGGATGCAATGTGAATTTCCTCACTTTCTATCTTCGGTAAGTTGGTTATAAGTTTGGAGTATCCTAGTTGTCAAATCTGATTATGAACCTGATTTTGTGCTTTGTGGATTCCCAAGCCACTGTGATTCAGCGCTCTGTCTTCCAGCTATAATATGGAAATATGAGACGTAAGGTAATTTGGGAGTCCTGGACATCTGCACCAACATGGGAGGTCACTATAGCCACTGGAAGCCCACCATAAATCTCACTTCCCTCACAAAGCGCTGGGGCTCAAACCCTAGGGCCTTTTGGATGCTAAGCAAGCACTCTACCACTGAGACACACTCCCCACCCCAAGCCCATGATTGTGCTATCATCGTTACAGAAAAGATCATGGAACACCTCTATGAGTAGCCAAATTGTGGGAAGCAATTGATGAAAACATCTCCCTTCATTACAAAGCTATAAATACTATAATCAGGACGAAGTGAAAACAAAGCTTTACTTAGATGACCAGAAACACCTGGGTTTTACTTGCCCCAACTCAGCTCATTTTCTGTTAAAAGCCAACTATATAAAGACTGACAATGGCTCAAACAGGATGGTAAAAAATACAGGAGTGGTTCAAATTATTCCACTCAAGGGAGAAATGACTATAGGCATTGTATCTTCTTACCCTCCCTTCTCTAAAGTTAGCAGTCTGAACACCCCAGGGGTTTAGAATGCAGGTGCAAGGAGCCAGAAGTCACAGGTGCGGTGCGGCTTCCATTTCCTTTCTCCACTGACCTTTAAGGTCAATTGGTCTTTGAGCACAGAGGGATTCTAAATTTCTCCTTCACTTGATGTGACGCACTTACACAGGAATGGCGCAGACAAGGAGGCAGCTTTATTGCACTTCGGGGCGGGGGAGTCATGATTCCAGTTAGGGGTGAAAAACCATTGACACGCAGTGAGCAACACTGCCATCTAGTGGGGTGGTGACGCCCCACCAGGACTTTCAAGAACTGCATTTGCTGATTTCCATTGTAACCACAAAACAGCATTTGTATTTATTTATTTATTTATTTATTTATTTATTTTTGGTACCGGGGATCGAACTCAGGTCCTTGTGCTTGCGCAGCAGGCGGTGAAACCACTGAGCTAAATCCCCAGCCCAAAACAGCATTTTTAATAAAGTGGTCTTCAGAGAACCTGATTTTGAGAAACCATTTTTGCCTTTAAAATGCATGAATGTATGTGCTTTCTCTGCTTTTGGAAGTTAAAGAATAAGATGTGTTGTTTTTAACGGATCGCCAGTTGAATTCTCAACTTAAAAATTCGTGAGACACTGGGGACAACCTGCCTCTTTGATCATCTATCCCTACTGTTTGAAAACGTTAAAAAAAAAAAAAAACTCTGATTATGAGTTTACAGAAGCAAAAAAGAACAATAATAAGTTTACTTATTTCCTCTGTTTTAGATCCATGGTACCAAGTAGTTGCACTTCACTTACTTGAATTCCTGGGGGGAAAATCACTAGAACCCGCCAGTAACAATTTCTCATAAATCATATAACCCAACTCCTATGTCTACACAGTAAGATACTGGTATGAGGGTGTGGGAATGCTTTCCCTCATGAATAATAAAGTAATTCTTCTCAAGGCTTTAAATCTCCTTTACACTCAGGTGTTGCAGTATGTGTTGATTTGAGGACATCTGGGTATATAAATGAGACTACTTAAACACCTGGATGAAAAAGGATATAAAGTTGTGAGAATAATATATTGTTAATATCCCCAATCTCAAACTGGCATCTCTGTTATTACTGAGATTTTAGATTCTGGGTTAAGTGCTTTGCTCTTTGAAATATCCACAATGGTTATTGATCTTGCTAATGAGTTTCCCTATTGCTACATTTCTGGGTTGATGGCTGGAGGCACAGTTACTATAATGCATGTCTGACATGGTCTTCAACAAACAATATGCTTGGCAAATAAGAAAAACAGTTAAGGATTTGGGGAAGGGCCAAATTCTGGGGAAGACGTATACAGCTATAGAGGAAGAAGTTGAATTAACATTTCCGCCGACTTGAACCACTGGCAGTACACACATGACTGTCCCATCAGGACCACCCAGTGGGACTGTCCCATGCTGCCCTGTGAGACAGGCATGCATGTACCACCAGCGGTTCAGAGCCACCCAACAGCGAGATACACAAATTATGTCCCCATCATGAACATGTTAAAACATTTTTAGTTTGCATTCTGTTCATAGATACAACAGGATGTTTCAATTCAAGCAAACTGAGATTATCCAGAAAATCTGGAGTGCAGGATATAAGCTAGCATTTCTCAAAACAACACTGACTCGGGGGCCAGAGTACCACCACCTGCCTCACAAGTACAAGGTCCTGAGTTCGATCCCCAGTACCAAAAAAAAAAAACCCAACACTGACTGGGAAGCCAGAGTGCTCCCTCAAGTACGGTACCTGAATGGGTTGCTGTTTTACAGGTGTCTAGATGGCCTGGTGTTCACTGCAATTTGGATTCACTCCCAGTCTGAGGCCTTTCTTCAGCACATGGCCAAGCGGTCTGCAACTTCCACATAATGCTACTACTCGGGCACTCCTAAAGCCAAAGCGATAAGCTTTAGAGTAAGTAACTCAAACATGATGCCAAAGTCCTCTCCAAAAAAGTTTATTAGCATGATTAAAAACATTTTCTCGAATAATAACAGAAAGAGTTTCTAAACATGAAAGAGTATCAGTGGCTATACCTTATAACCAGTATTTGGAACTGAGTGGATAACTTTATTGCCAGTCTTCATTTTATTAAAAACAATCCATGTATTGGTTCTATGAAGCCATGACTATTGCTTTGGGAGTGAGTCCCTACTGCAATTAAGTATAAAAAATATCTTCCGTCATAATTGAAGTGTGACCTGCATTGGAGTGTGACTCTGAGTAAAGAGTTGATAAAAATCCACAAAGAGTTGGGTTTCTGTTTTTTAAAAACATTCCTTTTACACACTACAAAGAAATAATTAGTATTTTGGCTTTTTAAATTCCTACAGGACATTTAGAATGGCAGTGCCCAAAGGTCCTCCCATTACACAACTGTGAGCGCAGACCCTCTTCTGGAGGGCGGATAGCGAGGGTGGACTTTGGCCTCCACGTGTTTATACTGGTTTGAGAACAAAGACAGCATCATCCAGAACGTAGTAGTCATTATACATGTCGCCTTCACACAGGTATGGCAGTCTGGTGAAAGCTTCGATGACAAAGCCGGCTTTTCTGAACACTTCAGGCAGGCTATTCACTTGTTCTTCCCAATTCTGTCCCTTGATTTCCAAAATTTCTGATGGTTTCTCCCACTTGCCACCTACTAAAACAAATTTAAAACATTAGGTTAAATTCTTGATCAAACAAGTTACTTAAAGCGGGGAGGGGAAGGCACCTGCTATGCTCCAGCACTTGAGCTCTGGGGAGTCACCACCTCCGTTCTTCCCATCACCGAGGTGGGCACAGACTCCAAGGGCTGAAGAACCTGCCACCAGCTCGAGGTTACTGAGCACGAGAGCTGAACAACCCCAGGTCTGCCTATGTGCACAGCCTGACTGTCATCTTCTCTGACAGGGTCTGGCACAGACTGCCTGGGGGTTATAACAGCTAATGGGTTTAGAAAACTGGCCAAAACCAGAATACTGAATCAGAGTAATACATAATATTTCAAAGAGGGTTTTGAAAAGCAGAAGAGAGCATCCCTGATGGAGTAAACTTACACAACTTATTACCTAGAGAGACTTTATCAGGCTGGAAATAGAAATGACTGACTGATGTACTGGGGACTGAACGCAGGCTGTCACACTGAGCTATGTGGCCAGCTCCTTTTTAGTTTTTATTGTGAGACAGAGTCTCTCGAAGGTGCCCAGTCTGGGCTCAAACTCACCATCCTCCTACTTCAGCCTCCCAGAGTGCTGGATTATAGGATGCACCACCATACTGGGCTGAATTTTAATTTCTAAAAGCAGATCATCGGCGTGTTTTTCAAGAGAGGGTGGGTGACTTGCTACCTACATTTTCAGAACTATTTCATAAAAATGAAGCTCTAAGGCCAGAAAGAGGTAAAACACTAGAATGGAGGAGTCACAGCACTTCTTGGAATAGTGACTGAAGTCTCTCTCTGCCCTGAGTATCAGGGAAATAAGGGAACCAGGCAAGGTTTTCAAATCCACATACAAACCAAGCACTGACTACAGACACTCACAAAGATTATCACATACTGAAATCTGGGGGTGCTTTTGGATCCAATAGTGATATAAAAAATATACATACTGTATCCTTGAGTGTGTTACTAGATTCAGGACCCAGAGTAGCTTTCTGAGAATGAGAAAACATATGATCAGCAGGAGCCAAGAGCACAAAGCTATTGTGAAAAGCTTGTTCACTGTTTTCGGTGACCCAGTACTGAATCTTCCCTCCATACCTGGGAAATTTCCTCCGATAGATAGAGTCTTGGTAAAGGCAACACCTGGGAAAGCACCTTCCTAGCCTTTCTTGCAGCACAGGCATCGGCACACAACCAGCGTAGGCTCCACCACATAACCCTGACACCTAGAATGATGCATGAGTGACCCTCAAAGCAAGATGCGAGGCTTGTCCTCTCAGGGGCAGGGCACGGGCAGTGAGATCAAGCAGCTGGGCAGTGCTACCTAGTGCCTGGTGGCAGAGCACACTCCACCAGTTTTGCAGCATGGCAGCATTCTTCCTGGTTGTGACCTCCACATGTGCCTCTCCAGACCTCCAGGAGCTCGGGGGCTACCCCTAAGACCTGCCAGTAAGTTTCCTTCTGCTTCAGTCAGCCTGAGTCAGTTCCTGCTGCTGACAGAGAACCTGACCCCTGGTGCCCTGGGAGTGGGGAAGGGGAGGTGACGAGGGTCCACAGCAGAGCTCCCATACATTTGTCTCACAGCACATTAAAAGGGCAAGAGTCTGAGCCAGGTGTGGTGGTGCATGTCCCTAAGCCCAGCTACTCAGGAGGCTGAGGCAAGAGGATCACAAGTTCAGGTTCAGTCTGGACAACTTAGTGAGATTCTGTCTCAAAATAATAATAATAATAATGTACTGCAAACATGTACTAATGAAAATTAAAATTTCATTTTAAAAGGATGGGAGTCATGGGATTCAAAACGGGCACAACTAGTCAGTGACAGCCAATGCATTTCTTCACAGTCCAGAACAGGGTGCGTTTTTCACTATTCTTCTCTCGGCCCTGCAGGAAGACGCTGCCTTCTGCTGCCTCTGTGACCCCCAGTTACTGGCTCAGAGCGAGGCTCTCAGCAGGTGATGGGATGGGCCACTGTACTATACTGCTCTGGAAATTTATGCACTATCTGTCAAACAACGCTGCTTCCTGGAAATATGTGCTGAGTGTAAAACAAAACTGCACTCAGAACATCTAACACCCAAGTCCATGAAAACATTTATATGCAGATTTAGAAATGTGCCCCAGGCTGAAATCTCAACTTTAAATGGCAAAACTGGGTTACAAACCATCTTTACACAATTTCAAAAAGTTCTCAATTATGGTTCCGTAATAAGAGTTCCTCTCTTTGGTTCTTCCTTTCTAAAAACAGAAAGGAATTTTTAGAAAAGCCAGCTCTCTCTACAGATACAGCCCTCAACACACACACACAGAAATGGGCACTGTGAACAGGAGCAAGACCTTTCCTGGTCTGGAAATCAACCTGATTCTGTTTTATGCAGGTAAGGCTGCTTTTTTCCTTCTCCAATTTATTTAACTGCTACTTTTTTGACTAGAGCCATTTATATTTTAAACTCCTACTGAGTAAGTTTTAAATGTATATAACATTATAGAAACTGTCTAAAGTGATAAGTTTCTTCCTGCCCCCCTGAGGAATAGATACTAAAGAATAGATGAGGAAAAGCCCTTTGCTATTTCATATTTCAGCTCTTTGGAGAACAACTCATCAAAGAGTTGAAAACATTTTTAAAATCGCATGTGCTACTCATTAACAATTTAATTCTCATACAGGCAAACTCACTCTGCACACAGTATGCAGTGTACAGTATCCGATGAATACTTTCAAGAAACAGTGTTTCTAAAAACATGAACTTTTGTAAAATACAAGTACTGTACTTATCTGAAAGACTGCCATATCTCCTCTCAGAGAGAGCAGCCACCCTTTAGTCTGTTTTAAGAATTCTGACTACATTCGGGTTTTCTCTGTGAAAGTGTTTTTTACAGTATAGTTCTAATAATCTCAGATTTGCCCACAAAATTTGGATTATAGCTAGGGAAGGTGTCAAAAGTTCTTAAAATTAATTTTTCTTGTTTGTAAAGAAAAAGACCAAAATGTTAGTGGTGGTTATTTTGGACCAAAGGACTACGATGACTTCTTGCTTCTACTGTCAGCACTATTTTATTTTTTTTATTAAGTATATATGTTACTTTTACAAAGACCATTAGTATTATTTTAATGTTTTGGTTTTTTTACCGGGGATCGAACTCAGGTCCTTGTACTTGCGAAACCACTGAGCTAAATCCCTGGCCCCCGTTAATATTATTTAAAGTATTATCTTTAGAGAGGCATTCAAGAGATGTGCAGGCAGCACACCCAGGACCAATCTACAACCCACAGAGTGAGTGCAGTGTTGAGGACAGCGGAGACCAGATGGGCTGAAGCCAGGCGTGGGTCATCTTCTATTATAAGAAGCTTTTTACAAGTATAAAAAATTAGTTCTCTACTAGAACAGCAAAATGACTTTTATTCTCTCTACCAAGATAAACTTTCAACATTACTGGTGGATACTCTGATTAAAAAACAACCCTACAGAACACACTTGATCTTAACCAAAAGGCCAAGAAGCGATAAACCTATAGAACACAAAAACTCTTAAAAGTAAAAATTTTTTGCCAGACACGGTTGCACATGCCCATAATCCCACCACTCTGGGAGGCTGAGGCAAGAGGATCACAAGTTCCAGCCTCACCTGGTATTTTAGCAACTTAGCAAGACCCTGTCTCAAAACAACAAAAATTTTAAAAAGGGCTGGAAATGCAGCTCAGTACAAAGGCCCTGGATTCAAGCCCCAGTACTGCAAAAGAGAAGAAGAAGAAGAAAATGTTCACAGGAGCAGGCTATGTTGTGACATTATCTGAACTTCCCTTTTTGCTAATATGTTGCTTAACTGGTGGAGGGGGAAGCGCACAGCCTCACAAGCCTGCCTCCTCTCAGAGGAGACCACTACAAACGCCTTTCTCTCACCCTCAGACTAAGGAGAAACAGGAAACTGCAAAACTGCAAATGCTTCTTGTGTCCCTAGTTCTCAAAGAAAAGTATTAAAAGTCAGCTTCACCCCAGCCCACCCCCAGTACGGAGGATTGAACTTAAGGACCTTGTGCTTACGAGGCAGGTGTGGTGCCACTGAGCTAAATCCGCAGCGCCAGTCAGCTTCATTTTTAAAACCTTTAATCTGAAAACCATTTGAGTTTGAGACACTACTGTACTGCACTTCGAGAGGCCCAATCTCATTTCAAATTTCCACTACACAAACATGATTGTAACTGTTCAGTGTTCCGCTGGACCATACGTAAGGTGACTGAGCCTGTGCAAGAGACAGAAGTGGTATTTAACAGGCGTGGGGATGAGTCCAGGCCCCAGGGCTGAAGAGTCAGCTCAGCCGGCCTCTGGCAGTCACAGAGCATCCACAGCCAAAGGTCTTCCCAAGTGACTTTCCCCTCTCATCTGGTTATACTATCAGTTCACCACAAAGCTCCCAGCCCATCGTAAACTGTACCAATGCTAAAATTATACCATGGTGAGTACACATTTGCATCATAAATGCCACAGTTCTAATTTTAATTCCTCTTCTGTTCTGGTTGGAGACCTGTAAGGAAAACATTCAATGAAAACAGGGCTGGGGATTTAGCTCAGTAGTTCCGCCACCTGCTTCGCAAGCAAGACCTCGCAAGGTCTCGAGTTCAATCCCCGGTACCAAAAAAAAGGTGACTGGAGTTCAGACGTCAAAAAAAAAAAAAAAAAAAAAATCCAGTGAAAACAAACTTAAGCAGCAGACTGCCTGGATTACTTTTCAATTTCATTTACAGGAGCAAAGGGTGCACTCAGACAAATAAGACCATTTGGAAACATACAACTAGGCAGAAGTCAGACTTGCATAAATTTCAGTGTCTCAACTAATACTATTCACACGTGGCCTCCCTTGTTCCCAGAAAGGCTTTGGGCAGGCCCATTTATAAGCATCTGCATGGCCTTCCAGCTTCCCATGTCTGGGAATACAAAGAAGGCCAAGGTGGAGCCCAAGCTCCAAGCAGTGCCACGTGGTGAGGGGAGCACTGGACAGGGCAGGGCATCTGGGTTCAGCTCCGTGAGCACCCTGTGGACAGGTGTCCATAATTACCTCTGAAATGGGCATGTGACACTGTAGTGGCAGGGGCAACAGCAGAAATCACTACCTTTTGTTAAATACTTACTGTGGCTTAGCCAAGTAAATACTCCTTATAGATGGAATGCTGCACTTAAACTTCATACAAACCACATAAGGTCAGTAACACCATCCCCACTCTGATGAGTAAAGTGACACAGATCAGAGCTAGAACTGGCAAATCTGGGATTCAGACTCAAGTGTGTGCTCTTTTTTGTGTGTGTGTGCTCTTTTTAATCACAATATTGTTACTCAAATAAGATAAAAGTTACAAAGGACTACAGAGCAATGTACAGATGCCAGGAAGAAATCAAATCTGCCTACTACGGTGTACCTTATTCATCTGGCCTTTGCTCAGTAATCAAACACAAGGAAAGCATGCCAGGGCTGCACTTCCACAGGTGTACATCTTGCCTTTTATCATGTTTCCTCGGTGGCCACTAGGCTCACAAAGAACCACTGTGAACTGCCATGAACTAGCAATCCTAACCCTCCACATCAAAAAAATCACCTGCTCGGGTGCCCAATCAGCAGCAGCAACATTTGTATGAAGAGCGTGATACATTTTTCCCATGCTGAACACAATGCTTATATGAGTGAGAGTTACAGATTAGGAAACAAGACTCCCCAGGATTACATGATCTGTCCAAGATCAAAGAAGTGCTTGCAGGCAGTAAGAGCACACCAGGACCCTGAACATCTGCCTCAAGCTCTGGCACTACCTCAGCTCACCATGCTGATCCTGCTGGAACCTCTCTGGGACTGTCCTCAAGTAACCAGATGGCACAGCAGGTCAAAGTCAGGAAACACCCAGAGTTAGGACAGGTGAGGACCACTACTGTCTGCTTTTATAGCCTTATTTATAATGAAAGTAAGGTTAAAAAAAGAGAGAGAAATGGCTGAGTTTCCTAGCCCAAAAACACCAGAAAGAAGCACAGACGATGTGAGGAAGAAGCCAGCTAAACACTGTCTGCTTGCTCCCCCAGGCATTGTGGGTGCCTGCACTGTCTCTGTTGTGCAGCCAGGTCACCTGGAGGTGGACTACACCTACACGGCTGTCACCATAGAGTGCACCTTCTCCACAACTGGATGCCCTTCACAGCAACCCCTGAGCCTGTGGTTTCGCTACGGCGTTCACCAGGCTGAGAGCCTCTGCTCGGCTGGATGCAGAAGTGCAGCAGATAAATTCACAGTGAGGGAAGCCCTGGACCAGAACCAAGTTTCTCTCACTGTCAACAGGGTGACTCCAAATGACAGTGCAGTTTATATCTGCGGAATAGCATTTCCTAATGCACAGGCACCGACAGCTAAGCAAACTGGAGGTGGGACCACACTGGTGGTAAGAGGTCAGTCCGTTAAGTCTTTATTGAGGGCATCATCACATTCTGCATAGATCTTTAAAATCTTGTATCACATTCACAAGGTAGGAAATAAATTTGCTAGTTTAATATCCTAGCCAATGAAGGGTATGATCTGAACACAAGTTGCCACGAGGTGTGGACTCAAGAACTGCTCTAGCCCCATTGTTCAGCATCCACACACAACCCTTTGTAGCAGTTGTTCTTCGTTCCTGTACACTAAAGTGACTAGGTGCACCACTGATTAACTATCAGTCCTCCTAGGAACTGGCTGAGAACTGCACCGTCTAGAACAACACAGTAGAGAAGTTTAAGTGACCAATAACTGGACTCAGAAAAACTACATATTATGAAAAAATAAAATTTGGAAAGAAGACACTGGTAGACCCTGTCCTTTCTCACTCTGCCTGGACATCAGAGAACAGAAAATGACAGCCCTGGCTTCCTGAGATTTGCTAAAATCTCTGACAATCCCTCACTCAAGTGAGAGCATCAAACCTAGCTAAATCCTATCAGTAATTTCACCAACTCATTCCCTTGAGAAGTCTGAGATTAAGAAATTTCAAGCCAGGCATGGTGGAGTGCACCTGTAATCCCAGCTACTTGCGAAGCTGAGGCAGAAGGATCACTTGAGGCCAGGAGTTCAAGGCTAGCTCCCTTAACATAAAAGACTCCACCTCTTACAAAAAAAAAAGGAGGTATATCACATTTAAAAAACAGATGAACTGGCTTTATCTATCATATCTATCATAGGGTTTTCTGGCCCTCAGCAAATGTTTATATGAATAGAAAAAGCTAAATTCACATTTTACCTCAAACTTGTGGCTTCGATGATACTGTATATATACATTTATAAGAGTATGCCTTAACAGTGACTGTTTCCTTCTGTTTCTATAATGAAGAAAGCAAGCTTCTCAGCAAGGAACTGCAGGGTGTCTTCACAGCACTCTTAGCATTGCTCTCAATCTACGTTACTGGCATATGTGTGATCTTCACAGTTCTCTCCAAAGTAAGTGAAATGTTTTGCACTGAATGCATAGCCTTGACTATTATCATGAGGAAAATAATTTCTACCTCTCCACAAGCTGGGAGCCTCAGAAAGAGCTCGCCTAATTAATATCCTCGCCTGCCTCTGCAGGGATCACCACCTACAGAGAAGGGCTGAAATTATTAACCAGAGACACAGCTGCCAGTGCTTTCTCTAAACACAGGACATGGGACCAAGATACCGTCTTCCATGCTGGCTTCCTGCTATGAGGGATGGGAACATGGTGGAGAGGCGGTGTTACTGTTACCTGTGAAAGCCCTAAGAATAACCTGTACAAGCACACATGGGTTAATAAACAGATTAGAAGCTGCCTTAAGATATTCTGAAAGCCCTAAAGTTATTGAAAAAAGAATATCTTTTGGCTATACATGTGCTATAAGAGTATGTATATTAGAATTATTATAAATTCTACAATAAACATTAGTTTGCATTGTTAAATTCATTAAGAAATGAAATAAAGCCATCTTGGAAATGATATGAAAATAATTAACTTACTGTATGCCATTTTAATATTAAGTTAGTTTAATCTTACTGAATGAGATACGTGTCACAGTTGTTGTGAGTGCATAAAATGGTTATACTTTCCTTTTCTTCTTGGCAGTCAAAATCTAACACTCTAAACAGCAAAGAAACAGAAGATTCACAAAAGGTATAGACCAACACTTATAAAATATTTTTTAAATTATGGCTGATTGTAACTATTTAAAATCTCAATTATTTTAAGAAACAAAAAACATCATGGTAACTCTGAACCATAGATACTGTACTAACATTTCCTTCTACTGAGAACCTCAATGATGATCTCAAGTACAACTGATTTCAATTTGACAGCTCACCACCATAAATTCTACTTAATGCACTCAAAATACAGAAGAGTTAACTGCAGGTGTAGATGTGCTGGGGCGGTCCTTTCTGAGACTGATAGCAGTAAAAAAGAAAAGTTCTGATGATGTGCAGCAATCATCACTGATGCTCCTCCAACACACAAATCTTCTTCTCATTTGTATTTATAGAAGAAAAGTGCTCGGCGTATTTTTCAGGAAATTGCTCAAGAACTATACCATAAGAGATATGTGGAAACAAGCCAACAATCTGTAAGTATAAAATACCAAAAGATGCAATACAGACATAAAGCATGCTTCACTGAAAAGACTAAGCAGCCAATGAGCTGTTAATAAATGTCTTCCCTCAGAAAAGTCTGAAGGCTTTCACGTAAAATGAATTTTTATATAAAACCTGTTTTGATACATATATAACAAAGGACATTTGATACAATATTAAAGAGCCTCAGGCTACATTTGGAAGCTTTCAGAAACACATGGATATGCAATGCTTGCAGAGAAAGAGTACTTTCATGGACTAAAAGCTACTTTTTACAGCATCTTGCATGCTGAAAAGACATTAAGTTGATGCTGCCCACACTTGTGAATCATATTACCAAAAAAAATTCTTGTTATCAACAGGGCAAAAGTAAATTCACAAGGGCTATATCACAAGGGCTGAGCTACAAGAGGATATAGCTCAGTGACAGACTTATCTAGCAATGGGAGAGACCCTAGGTTCTATTCCTCAGCACCACCAAAAAAATATAAATAAATTCACATTACAAAAGATGCAACTAATGATATAAAAATGATTATTTCTTCAATATTTAGGGTTGAAGTGATAGTAAGAATGTATTTATATTACCTTCTGGTGATATAAGGAACATTCTGACAGTATTCCTTTAAAGGATGCTATTTAAAACTAGTAGAGCAGATAGGCTTTTTCCACAATGTATGATCAGATCTCTCAGATTTATATTAAAATGCACATAATATAATGAACTTATATACTGGCAAAAATATTTTCTTCTTAAACACCATCCAGGAGGGCAAATCCAACAGGACAGTGATTATGAGGTATAGTTTAGTCCAACTTTTAAAAAAGAATTTTACACCAAAAGAGAATATCATACAAGTAGTCACTTCATCCTTCAATGTATATACAAAGACTGATCCAATGCATTGAGCCATTAGACAATGATCCAATTACCTAAGGTGCCAAATCTGAATAATTATAAATGCCTGTTCAACTTTTTTCTTACTGAAGCTGGGGCATCTTTTCAACAGAAGCAAAAGTAAATGGCCTGAAGGAAGGCCTGGAAATAATTGTAAAATTCCTGACCAGGGTTTTGACAATGGCATCCAGACAAGAAAATGATTTTTTTCTGTTTCCACATCCTACTCTAAATACAAGAAAAATGTTAACCTGACCTTTAAGATACCAGAAGTATACTCAGAACCCAGAATGCAGGACAGCACAATAGCTTGGAGGATGGCATCACTGGTTACATAACCATAAATATGGCTCATTATTTACTATTGCAGGAGAAAGACAACACTTATGAAAACAGAAGAGCACTTTCCAACTATGAGAGACCATAGATACATCTTAATTTTCAATCAAGTTACTGAAAATCCAACTGCTGAAGCTATGGTGGGTGCTGTGAACGGACCACACACCAATCAGCTCTCCAAAAAACAATCCAAGATGAATAGAAAAGAAACTAGCTGGCTGCAAAAAAGAATGCCAGAGTAATAAGGAAGCTACAACTAACAGAAATTTTAAAAATACAAAAATCCAACACAATGTAACTGAAAAATATTTTCCTAATTTGCCAAGAAAATTCTAAATGATAAAACATTTTCAAAAAACTTCAGCCTAACATTTTCAAAAACTTCTATACTATGTATCCTGTTTGCTTCATTCAACATGTGAGGTTTTGGAACGGATGTCATCCTGAAGAAGACTGGAAATCAAACTGCATGTCTCAATGTTAAGTGGAAGAAATACTTTTACATATGAGACAATCAGAATCAGCAAGGAAGGGGAAAGGGAGAGTGAAAAGTGCCAGTATTTGAGGTTGAGAAATTCATTTTGAAAAGCACTGTGGAGCAAAACTTATTTCTTCTGGTATTATAACAATACAATGGTATGGTAGACATTCCTGCCAGCGTATACAAAATAACTTATATCCGGTTACCAACAAAAATGAGAATAGAAGAGAGACTAGCATGGGAGGGAGGTGAGAGGAAGGGGAAGTAAAAAGGATGAAGATTTGATAGGTGCATGTACCTGTTCCCCACGATAAATATATTAATTATGTATTACAAACACATACTAGTAAAAAGGAGGTATTAAAAAGCAATAAAGAAAAAAGAATATAAATAATGTACCAAAATACAGAAAATCCAAAGCAGAAGGTTAAATGGAGAAAATCTCAGGACAAATGAGCTACAGCTGACTCTAGATGTCAGTGTTGCACCGAAGGACAGCACCAGGGAAGTCCAGGGCCTCTGACCGACTGCGCAGGACCTTTGCAACACTGATTTTTAACCAATTTAGGAGGGAAGCATCAGACAGGGACTGGTACAGAGAAGATACTACGGACATCATCACTTCACTAAAAAAATGTAATTTGGATTATTCTTTGAAAGCTTAGTTGTAAACAATCTAAAATACCCATGATTATACATTTATTATTACACATGAATTATAATGCATTATGTTTCATTAAGGTGTTTCTTTTATGCTGGCATTAAATGAGACATATTCTTTTTAAAACCCAGACATAATTTTAAAACATTTTCAGATCCTTTTAGAAGCATTTTACACACTAACAACTCAAATAATCGATATCAAACCTGTCTCATAACACATGCCCAGAAAAACAGAAAAATGGAGCATATAGCCTCATTTTATTTCTGTGTACACACGTGCTGTGTGCAATGCATGCGTGTATGTACATTTGTATATGTATGCTTTGTGTATATCTCATATACAAATAAAGCAATGGCATAAACAGCAGCATAAATAAAAATGTTAATATTTTCTCCTTATATTTCAAAATAATTTTTCTGTGTACTCTCAGAGGTACACACTCTCACTTTAAGACCACTGGCTTAAGTGAAAAACACGAACTTCTGAACCAGATGGCAGAAAAGGGGTAAGCACTAATTCCATCTAGGTGAATAGAAGTACTGAATTAGATCATTTACTTTTCATTTCTGGCAGTCATTACATTTTGCTGCTTAATTCCAGGACGAAAAAGACACTGTTCCTTGTGTAACTCATCAGGAGACAAAATCCCTAGGATAAACTAACCAGGAGGGAAAATCCCTGGGAATTTATATTTCATTCTGAATAGGCCTTTCCCTAGATACGCAAGGACTGTGTTTCAAAGATTGATTCTGAAGGTGACATTTAGAACACACCTTGCCAAAGAAAGGAGTTCTGTTTCCCTGGGTCATATATAGAAGAACCTACATATATATTATGCATTCTCTGATTCATCCATATAGCCAACAATATTTATTGAGTGCTAAACGATTATGCAAGACTTCCTTTGCACATTATCCTTGGGTCATGCTGAACCTGTGCTACCCCAACCCCACTATGTTCACACCTTCATAGTTTTCATATGCTGTTCCCCTCTGATAAAATGTATGAAAGACTTCAAACCCAGCTCGATAAGCACACACTAGGCCCTGGGTTGGATCCCTACCACTGCCAAAGCAAAACAGGACAAAAACATAGCTCAGAGTCACCCCCAATACAAAATCCTTCCTAACTCCCCCAACACTTAATGGAGCTTTCTTTCTAACCCACAGTACTTTTATAACACATAATGCTACCACTGCCTGTCGCATCTATTTTCTGTACTCTTCTGTGTTTTAAGACTAGAAACGCAGTTCTCATTTATCATTGTATTTCCACTGCTTGGTACCACTCTGAACAAAGTAAGCCTTCAACTGTCTTCACATGAAAGAACTGAACAATTTTCCTATAAAAAATATTCTTTTAGAATTTCAACTGAGATGTGAGGCATACTTCACTCCCTAGGCACAGCCCTGAACTCTCTCCATAAAGGCATTGATTGGATCCAGTAATATTAATTTCCTTGCTAGCTATGAATCCAAATGCATTTTCACTGGAAAGGATTAAATTACGGCTTCCTGTTAAGATGTGAGCTTCTCATGCCAATGAAAATGCAATAATACTAAAACAATTTGCCTTAGTCAGTTTGGGCTACTATAACAAATTGTCATAGGCTGATTGTCTTATTATAAACAAAAGAAATTTATTTCTCACAGTTCTGAGAAATCTGCAGTCAGAGTGCCACATGGTTGAGTTCTGGGAAGGACACTCTTCCAATCTGCAGTCTGCTCATTTCTTATATCGTCACATGGTAGAGGGCAGAGAGAAGCAAGGTCTCTTAGATTTCTAATAAGGACACAAATCCCTGTCCTCTAGACCAGAGCCTTAAAATCACATGCCAGAAGATATTAACAGGATTTTCAAAAAAGGACTTTCTTTTTTGTATGGTGTAAGACTTGAGAGAATCTGAATAGGAATTCAGAAAATAGACACAGGCAAACAAAAATAAGAAAACAGACTAAGCGGGCCGGGGATTTAGCTCAATGATTTCACCGCCTGCTGCACAAGTGCAAGGACCCGAGTTCAATACCCAGTACCAAAAATCCAAAACCAAAAAGAGAACAGACTAAGCATACAGCCAATGCCATACAGCACACAGCTGGCTAATAGGCATACAGCTTAGCACATATGTCTCTGAGGTGTCAAGTCACACAAACCAGTGGAGAATACATTCTGACACAGTTAAGATGCAGTATGAAGACTTCAAATTCCAATTGCTGTTGTTAAGAGGTTTTGGCAGACTGAAAGACATTGATTAATATTTCAATCTGAAGAAAGGTGAACAAGTACAATCAAAGCCACAAATAAAAACAAAGTAACAAAACAGGACAGAATGAAATACATCTAACATTTGTCAAATATCAATAACAAGACAGACATGGTTGAGCACTGTCTATACATTAGATTATTTCATGCTCACAATAAACCTCAAAGTAGATATTAGCTCCTTTCTGCAGATGAATCTCAGATTAATGAGAAGCCCAGGTAATCCATATTTCCAATCCAAATGAGGGTTAGCCCTCAAAGCCCAAGTTCTTTCCATGAAACAGTCCTGCCAGAGTCCAGCTTATTTCTATTTAGCCTAATGAGAACTTTAAGATTAAACATGTTGGGCCGGGGATATAGTTAAGAGGCGCAGCACCTGCCTGCCAAGCACAAGATCAAGTTCAATTCCTGGTACAGGAAAAGGAAAAAAGAAAGACTAAACCTGTCTAATTTAACCAGACCAATGACCTTGGGAGAAAAGACTACACATCTTCACAAGCATAGGCTGAAGTGATTTCACAGGAGAATTCTATCAGATTTTCAAAGAATTAAGAATGCAATTTAACCTTCCTAATTATTTTTCATCAAATCAGCAGAATACTGATACCAAAGCAAAGGTAACACCTTCCAAAAAACAAGATCAGGTATAGACTATCATTTATCAATAATATTGATGCTCCTATTCTTATTTAGAACTTTCATAAACAGACTCTGATGGTGCATTATAAGAAGACAATCACATCCAAATCCAGAAATACCAAGAAGACTATTAGAAGACTACTAATAAAAAGATGGGAAAAGAGTATGACCATTTCTATAGATGATGAAAACTCTGATGACAAAATTCAACACTGACTGCTAATGTTTAAGCTAATAAAATGGAGTTTTTAAAAATGTGTCAACCAGCCAGGCATGATGCTGGCCTGTAATCCTAGCACTCGGGAGGTAGAGGCAGCAGGATTGCTGTGAGTTTGAGGACAGCCTGAGCTATCTAGTGAGTTCAATGCCAGCCTGAACTACAGAGGGAGACCCTGGCTCAAAAAAGGAAAAATTTAAGAAAGGTGTCAACAGTGATCTCAAGCCCTCAAGTTTTTTAACATTATAAAGCAAACTACTGGTATCTAAAAGTACATCCTCCTCCCCATGATCCAGTGTACTGGCAAATGTTCAACAGCCAGCTTGGAAAATAGACTATTTGTAATGTTTGCCAAATCCTATGGTATAAATACTACCATCATGGTCAACTGCACCAACAGCCATATTTAACAACTAGTTCACTAAATTTCTGCTAATAAAACAATCATGTTCCATGAACCAGTTTGAGCCAGTTCCAACACACCACTACACATACACATTGTAACCAGACAATGATGTAGAAACATATGTGCGCTTAGGAAAATTCCTAGATATAGTTAAGGGGAAAAAGGCAACCAAAGTATTTATTATAATGGGCCTCAGGCCAGGAGTGGTGGTACATGCCCATAATCCTTGTACTCAGGAGGCTGAGGCAAGAAGATTGCTGTGAGTTAAAGGCCAGCCTGAACTACCTAGCAAGACTCTGTCTCAAGAAACAAAACAAAACAAACACTATATATGACTTATAAGGCTTCTACTTCTATAAATAATTCACATACGTATATACTTATATTTACATAGACTAATTTCTGAAGATTATTTAAGACGACCTGAAAAGATTGTACAACTGGAGTGGATGAGAAATGTTTTATTGCATACCCTCTGGCAAGCTGCTTGAACTATTTTTTATCATAAATAACTTTGTATAAAAATTAGAATTTTGAAACATTAATCATACATTGAATTTTCATTTTTACAATACAATTCTCCTTTTCTTGATTACATACTTTTCTGCCCTAGTACTTAAAACAATATGCACTAAATTTAACAAGCCCTAACCAATACTGGGGTCAGTAAACAAAATAAATTGAATCAGAAACATGTCTGCGTTTTTCCTTAAGTTAATATAAGTAACAAAACTGCCATGGTTCAACTTAAAACATGTATCCAAAAAATGACAAGTAATCATTTCACCTACAATTGCTTTTTGTTTAAAAAAATTTTGAGCCAAGTAGGCAAAGCACATTCAGGTATCCTTATAGCAGTCCAGGACTGCATTCAGGCACTCACACAGCAAGACCACTCGGCACGCCACAGTTTCACATGGAAATCACCAAGATCTAATTAGTGACTTAGAGAAAGGAAGCAATAACAGAGTGCTGCACAGCAGTCTGCAAAATTTATAGGTCACTAAAGGTCACCCATAGCAACAAGGCTTCTTGTCTCAACTTTGCAACGTGTCACATGCCAGACTCCACAATCAAGGAGCTTGTTTTCAGTTCCTAGTGGAGACTGCCCTCTTGTCCAGTTTGACTTCCCCTAAATGTTTAGAGTTAGAAACAAAAAGAAATAAAGTTTGTCACCGGTGAAACTGACGTTTCTTCCTCCTGCTACGCCAGGAAGTAGCATTAAAGTTCTATCACGTGGTTGCCCAACAGGATACAGGGAACCAGACCGTGCAACTTGATGACTACTGAGCGCAACGCAGAAATGGAATGGAGGCTTAATCACACAGGGAAGAGCACTGAAATAAGGCCAGGTCACCGATTATAAAGGAGGACACGGACCAGACATTTTTCACTACATAACATATACATAATACATGGGCACTCACAGTTGAAGCAGTTTTTTCTTTATCATAATAAACAGGAATGTAAAAGTGGAGAAGCAAGATGGGAGAAAGGATATCTGTTCTATCTGTTCTCTTCGCTTCCTTAACCTCCCATGTTAAAAATTTCCCATTTTCCCCATCATCAACACAAATCTGAAACCATGTGGTAAATGTCAAGACAAGCATTTAATCAGAAGAGACTATGACTCATGAGGGAAAAAAGTAAGTACAAGGAGAAATTAAGAAGCACACAGCTAGTAACAGCAACATACAGAGCTCCATGGTTATAAGAAACATGAACTTTATTCCTTAAAATACAGATTTTCCTGATATTAATAACTATGAGACACGTGCAAAATAGCAATGGATTTCTTTAAAATGTCTGCAAGCTATTAATTTTTAATGCCATGGCTTATCTAGGCAATAAAATGGAAAAACTAAAGATTTCAA